GCTGATTGCGTCTCTGAAATAATATCCTGGAGAGTTGGTTTTAGACGGAGTGACAGAATTTTGTGATGATTTTGTATGAAACATTGCAGAGCGCTATCGGCCGGTAGTCGGAGACAACTTTTGCGTCAGTAATCTTAGGTATCAACCTGATGTGAGTGGAGTTGGTTACAGACGACATGAGTCATGTTCTGAAGAAAGACTGGACTTCCATGATCAGAGATGACCCAACAGTGTCCCAATTTGAGTGAAAGAAACTTGTCGAGAACCCGTCCGGTCCCGGTGCTTTGTCCGGGTGAATGAGAAACAAGGCCTGTTTAATTTCTGCTTGCGTTGGAATGGCACAAAGCATCGCATTAGCATCGTCAAACAGGCTTGGGTTTAGGCCGAAGTGACTATATCCCTTGTTGCCGTGAGAGAACTGGTCGAGCTTTCTGAGGAGAAGATGTTGTCATAATAAGCTAAAATTTGTCCCGCTATTTGGTCCTCTTTATAGTAGATCTGTACCTCTGAATCCTCGATAATAGACATCATGTTACGTACTCAACGTCCTTTCACTACAGCGTGGAAATATCCTGAGTTTGTATCCCCTGCTGAGAGCCACATAATTCGGCTACGTTGGTGCCAAAATTCTTCTTCTTGTTTGTATGCCTCACGCTGCTTGTTGTTCAGAGAAGTGATGAGAATATCATCACCTTGAGGGTCCGTCATGGCTGTTTCCAAACTCTGCTTAAGCCTGTTGATTGTTTCCTTGCTATTAAAGAACTGCTCCCGTGTCCAGGTTGAGATAGCTCTGCAACAACGAGACAGCCTTGCATCTACAGATAAGCCAACCTCAGCATTCCAGACCTCAGCAATAAGTTCTTTAACCTCAGCATTATCTCTAAGCCTACAGTCATAACGAAACAGCCGGTTCATGCGCCTATTTGCAGAGTCAAAAACTGTAATCATTGGTCTATGGTCTGAAGATTCAAAATTCAAGTAGTGGCATCTTCCAGTGGGAAAACAATCAAACCATGCCGGGTTGACAAGAACTCTGTCCAACCTACAGTACACTAGATGAGTTCACCTTTTCCCCCTCCAAGAAAGGGATATACCAGAATGTTTAAGATCGAAAAGATCACAGCTAGCAAGCATGTTACGGAAAGCGCAAAAAGTTCATGCTGCCCTCTCCGGCCCTCCTGATTTTTCGCTATTATCAACGATTTCATTAAAATCTCCAGCTAGAATCCAGAAAGATTTTCTTGTCAACGCAAAGGATATGAGAGAATCCCATACAATAGATCGATTAGGTACTTCGGGATCTCCATAAACAAAAGTAGCAAAAAAGGTGGCTCCTTTAAATGAAATAATTGTATCGATTACATTCTTAGAGAACGAGAGAATCTGAAGATCAACATCTTGTCTCCAGAAGAGAGCCAAACCACCACTGTTAGGTCTCTCCGGGGGAACTAGAAAAAGATGATCCTACCCAAGAAAATCAAGCTCTTTCAATACAAAGGGGTCATGATTCTTAGTTTCCATGAGGAAGATGACATCTAAGGAAGCTTTCTGATTAAGATCCTTGATCCGCTGGACTGTCATGGGCTTCCCCAGCCCACGACAATTCCAGCTCAACATAGCTAAGGAAGATCGGGCCTTCGCAGATGAAAATCCATCTGCTGTTTCTCGATCGGTGGGATCAAGACGATGGGAGGTGCTGACGAAGAGTTGGATTTTCGCTGCCGCCTTGACTGTCTTGTAGTATGTCTGTTGGAGGGACCCGCGCCAGCATGTAATTGAGCAAGGTTTTTTTTCTTGGTTCCCATACCCGAGAAGGATTTTGGGCTGAGTCTGATGTGTTGCGGGATGTATTTGATCTAGCAGGCCGTCCTCGTCTCCTTGGAAAGGGTAGAGATACATCATCTGGTCCTGCTACTTGGGATGTAGAGATGGCAATATGGAGAGGTAACGTTGCTAGTGTTGCACTTCCAGACATAGTAGATGCTAGAATAATATTTGATGTCGTTTCCTCCACTAAACCATCAAGTTCACTTTGTAGAACTCGTTGATGTCTTGCAGCTCTTTCAGTGGAGTTAGATACATTCATGTACTGGATGGTTGCATCCCGCAGTTCCTCCATGACATCTTTTGTAGCCGGGGTGGTCTGAGGTGTCTGACGGTCAGTGGTATTCCGGGGGGGGGGGGGGAGCAACTGAAGCCGTGAAAATTCAGTCTGCACACGTGTAGAGGAGGTTCCAAACACTCCAGTTGGGGACCTTGCTCTCCGTTGAAAGCTTGGAGACTGGCGGTTAGTAGCATCTTGAATAATGGAAGCCACAGTTTCATCTACTGTTCCATTGATTTCACTTTGTAGAACGCGTTGCTGTCTCGCTGCTCGTTCTGTAGGGTCATCAACATTGAGGTATCGAAGAGTAGTTCCCTGCAAATCTTCCAAAACCTCATTTGTAGTCGGAATAGCCGGAGGTGGTTGGAAATCAGTGATATTCAATTGCGTCCTAGGGAGGGCCGTGCAGGAGGGCTTTGAAAACGTTGGGATGTCACTTCTTGAACAATCTCTGGAGACTTAGCTCTCCATTGCAGGGTCGGAGGGTGCCGGTTTACTGTTCGAATCCCAACTCTTTCTCTATATTCTTGGGGGTTTTGCCGGCGACGTGAGTACGGGGGAGAGTTATAGGGTAGCTCCCTATGACCGATTGCTGGAGCAGGTATCTGTTGAGTGCCATCATTCTGAGAGTTACTTCCTGTAGGCATAATTTTATTAGGCCGTACAGAGTATGCAGAGATCCTTTCTCCGAAAGGTCTTCCATGGCGATCAACTCGTTGCTGGAAGGGGCGTGGTTGTCGAGATTCAGGGGCTCTCAACTCGTGTGCATGGTGACGAGGGCTATCAGTAGAGTGCGTTTTAATGGCATAGTTAGTCTAGGTCTCCATGGGTGGTTTCTTCTTGCAGATTTGTCTGTCTGGACAATGAGACCGAAGATGTGAGAGTTTGAAGCAACAAGAGCAGTAATTGCCTAATCCTTCATATTCCAGAGTGACAGTGCTTTCCTCTCCCGTGGCGAAGTCCAGTGCTGCTTTTATAACCAGTGGTTTCAGACCGTCCACCAAGACTCTGATACGAGCTGAGAAGCGGGAAACAACATAGTCTTCAAGTTCACCAAGCTCAAAGCCAAACTCTCATGCCAGTAATGTAGTGGTATGCCTCTGAGTGTTATCCAAAACGGTATCTGCGACGGGAAAGTGGGGGGAAATAATCGGTTCCCAGCGTTGAACTATAATCATCCAACAACCAAACTGATAAGGTCTGTGTCTTAGAACTTCTTTAATGTCCTCTTCTGGTTAAAGCGAAACTGAAAGCAATCTCTTCCAAGATCAATTCCAGTCGATAGGTCATTCATATTCCACTTTTTGGCGAGATAAGGTAAGACCGAGCTCATCTTTTGTTCAATAGGATTTGTGAGCCTTCCCACCAGTGTGTACATATTATCCTTGATAAGCTCAAAGGGGTCAAAATCAGGGGCACGGATTCTGATTCTCGAGGGAGCCGGAGGGTTGACTGCAATCGATTTACCTTTATCCTCTATTGAGTAACGTCTGGTCATTATGTGAAGAATGGTTTGAAAAGGGAGTCCTGCGTTGGCGTGTAGAAGAAGGCGTAGTATAGTAGTTTTAGTGGGAAGGAGTCAGAACGTTAAAGGGAAAGCAAGCCGATTTCCAGAAAAAAAGTAGGAAGCTCAAGTGATAAGAAGGAAATTTAGGAAATAAATCGGATGGTTGAAAATCATGGTTGATAAAACCGGGTTACCAAGTCTCTAGCTGCTTCCCTGCGCGGCGATGTGATGATCGGAGGAGGGGTTGTTAAGCGGCTAAATGGTTTGTTTTCTCCGGTTCTCGGAGGCATCGTGTGGCAAGGGTTTTCTCAGCCGGAGTAGTCTTCCGGTGGAGTAGGCGTTGCTGGTGGTACACGATGGGGTCGTGCTTCCCAGCACCGGCGTCGTCCGGTGGTACGAGCTCACACCATTTAAAGCTAGGGTTTTGCTGTTCCGGTCCCGTTGCCGTACTCGAGTCCGCTTTTCCGTCTTTCGGCTTAGGAGCGTGTGAGTTCGGTGGTGGTGGGTTTTCTCCTCCGGTTTACATCTGCCACTTCCACATTGAACCTGTGACTTGTTCCCTTTCAATGTAAGGCTCCTCCTCTCTATGTCTTTGTGTTTGGGGTCCGATAGTTCTTGTCGTACCTTGTGGACCTGTGTTGCAATTGCCTTGGACTACTCTTTTGCGTTTGTGAATCTGGGATTGGTGATTGCTGTGACTGAAGCGGTTTGACGCAAGTGCTGACCTCTGTTTTGTGTCTTGGTGCTGCACTCCTTGCTTGTGGTCGGAGACTTGGTCTCCTTGGGGCGGTGTTCACTCAGTTTCGATTGTTGGGTTCAGCATTGTTCAACTCCAGTCTCTGTTTTTGCTCGCTCTGTGGAGTCTTGTCTAATGCTGCTGACCTTGGGTAGGTTCTTGGGATCCTAACTATCTTCTGGGGGTTAAGCATTTGTTTCCTGCATTTGTCTTGGTCTTCATATCCCTTTTCCTCGCTTATTGTTGTAGCTTGTGGTTATACTTTGGTCCTAATGCTTGTTGTTTGTGTTTAGTTTAATTTCTGCAATTCTCTTCTTTGTTTCTATGTTGTTCTGTAGAAAACTAAAAATGGTATAATAAATTAATATTTTACCAAAAAAAAAAAAAGTCTCTAGGAAGGAGCGCCAGAGAGAAAAATAGTGTTCGATACACATGCAACTATAGAAGGAGCTCATCTTTGGCGTGCTCACAAACTTTTACCAAAAATTTGTACCATTCCTTTTTTATCAGCCCACTGGGCTTTTAGCATTAGTGTTACAAAAGATTGACACAAAAGTAGTTAATAATTGCTTCAATGACAAAATGCCAAAAATTTACAAAAAAATAAAAAGTAAAAAAGAAAGTAAAATTAAGTGAAGATTCTAACACAAAAGAAAAAACCCAGTTTGGGAATGACGAAGAAGAAAAATCATGAAGTAGAAGTAGAAGAAGACTCAGATTCTCTAGAGAATAAGAAATCTTTTAAAATCGACTGGAATTCCGTCCTAGACGACGACGACGACTGCAGCGGCGGAAAGGAACATCAAGTGCCGGAGTTGCTGATTGTCAACACCAAAGCTCCTCCTCCGACTCATCCGCCGTCATCTTCATCATCTTCTCTCCCCGAGATGGACTGTCACAGAAGCCTAACCGATCAGGCGCTCGACGAGCAGCTAGAGCGCAACAAATCTCACCTCGTGAAATTAGGTCCGAGTCTACCCGACAATGGTGAGAGAATCATCCTCAAAATCGATAGCCTTGAAGCAGAGAAGCAACGCAGGCTGTTACATCGCTCCACAATGGTTCGCATTCTCATTATTACAACTAGTTTGATTTTGTTTCTAATGTCTTGTCTTTTTGGATCCTAATTAATGTTACAATGTTGGGGTGTGGCCAAAACTTTATATTTCATCTTACAAGGTAGATTGTGTGTAGATGATTAATAGTCATGGTTAACTACACCAACTTATTGTGAAACCAAGTGGATGTTGTGATGATAGAGATGTGACTCTTTCACTTTAAAAAATTTGAAATTTTTATCCTATGAATGTGACTCTTTCACTTTTTTTTTCAGGATGCAGACAGAAGTTCAAAGCTCATGCATGCAACTACCTCAGGTATCTTTGTCCCATTTATAATCTCTTTATCAAATGTATGTTCGTGGTGGATCAGTTTGTTTTTAACTAATTAGTTTGGTTAAGTTCAAGTAACGATTAGGACCCTTTCTTGGAACTATTGTTTTACAATTTCCTTCTCACTAGTGAAGCTCAGAGTTTTGTGTCTAGTTTTTTAAAAGTTTTCATTTTTATCTCTCCCACATAGGTTCAGATGTCACGGCACGAGGGAATTCGGTTTCAACAGAAGGTTCTAGACAAGGGAATACAGACTCTAAAGAAGAAGTCTCACGGTCGACGTTTTCAGATTTTTTCAGTAAACCCAAAGTATGGAGAATCTATACATTTGTTATGCCATTTTGAGCTGTTTTTTGATTGGCTACTTGATGATGCAACTTTGTAACCTTGTCTTTTCAACAGCCGGATAACGAGTCAACGAGAGCGTTTTGTAAAGAACTAGAAGATCTGGGATGCGAAAGTGTGAAACCCAAGGCTGAGAAAAAGGTTGTGACTAGGCAGAAGAGCCGATGGCGGATTTTGTCAAATGCAGTGGAAGCTGAGTACAGTGAAAAGAAGTTTAATCATGAACTTAAAGGGAAGAAAAAACAAAAGGAATCTTCCACTTACTCCCTGCTTGATGATGATCGTGATTATGAAACCAATGGCCATGAAACTCCTAAGTCAGTTTCCTTTCTCCTTTTCCAACTGTCTTTCTGCTTCTATTTTGTTCTCAAGATAATGAGTTGTCATGTAATCTCTGTCGCAGGGAGTGGTCTTGGGAAGAATATCCATCACAGAGTTCAAAGCGCCGTAAGGTACTTCTTGCTTACTGCTGGTATATTGAATTTTTTGTACGCAATCGTTATATACTTTAGCCCTCAAAAGCATTTTCTAAATCATCTTCCTTTCAAAAGACTTCAGTTTTCAATCAAACATTGCTCTCTAGGTAACTTTTTCTGTTTATAAAACATTTTAAGTTTGTCAGGAAAGGCTTCCTACTTGGCTGTAGCATTTCTTTGGCTTCTCTAACACTCTCTTTACACTGACACATTTGTTGCTTCTAACTTACTGATAACATCCTCTGGAAAACTGTAGAAGGCAGATGATACAGTGATTAACATAGACGAAGAAGAACCTCAGCCTTCAACGTTTGCAGAGCAACCAGTTGAACTTCCTGAAGGGTAAAAGCTCTCTGTATTCTCTTTAACTTCATTAAGTTACGATTATTGGTTGTATATAATCTAGTATTTTGATGAATAATGCAGCTTACAGGAAGATATATGCTACCCATCAAGGTAAATTTATCTCAAGTTTGATCCTTACTTACCATAAGTCTCGATAAGGTTTCTCTTCACTTTATCACTATTGATACTGTTTCTTCTCTTGACTTTCTCGGGTGATCTAGTGATGATCCACACTTTGTTCAAGTTTGTCTTAAAGATCTTGAATGCCTTGCACCTCAAGAGTTTCTAACATCTCCAATCATGAATTTCTACATCAGGTGATTTTAAAACGATTGACTTAAAATATGTGTTATCTTGCAGTCATTTTCTTTAAATAAGTGTATACTGTGTTCACGCAAAAATTTTAACGTTTTCACTGCCCCTTTTTCTTTGGGTAGGTTCTTGCAGCAGCAGCAGGTATCTACCGGTTGTCACTTCTTTAACACCTATTTTTACAAGAAGCTCTGTGACGCAGTTACAAACAAGGTGATCAATGGTTTTCTAGTGCACTGTGTTTCGTTTGCATAATTCACAGTTTAATCTCTATTGCATTTTAAACCATTGTCTTTTCATTTCAATTTAAATAGGGAAATGACAAGGATGCCTCTTTTGTTAGGCTTAGGCGGTGGTGGAAGGGTATTGATTTATTCCGTAAGGCATATCTATTCATACCAGTACATGAGGAGTAAGTCTTACAACTTGATGAAAACAAAATCAAAATCGTTAGACGGTTTGATGAGATTTCTAGTTAATCTATGTATTCATCATGATTCTTATACCATGTCTCAGTGTCCATTGGAGCCTAATAATAGTTTGCATCCCAGACAAGGAAGATGATTCCGGATTGACTATACTTCACCTTGATTCATTAGGACTTCATCCGAGAAGATCAATTGTTGAGAATGTAAAAAGGTATGGAACCACCAGGAGCTTTTATCTTTTCACATGTTTGTCGTTTTTATGCATATATTGGTTCAATATGTTAATGAAGAGGCATATATGTCAACATTGTGCAGGTTTCTAAAAGATGAATGGAACTTTTTGAATCAGGATGATGATTATTCATCTAATCTACCGATCTCAGAGAAACTATGGAGAAACCTCCCACGCAGGATTAGCGATGCTGATATTAAGGTCAGTTCTTTTACCTTTGATAGTCCCATGGTTTAAGGAGCACATTCTAAAGAAGGATCATATCAATACGTTTTATGGTATTCTCTTTGTGCATCAGGTTCCACAACAGAAGAACGATTTTGACTGTGGTCCTTTTGTTCTCTTCTTTATCAAGCGGTTCATCGAAGAAGCTCCTCAAAGGCTGAAAAGGAAAGACCTTGGAATGGTGAGTGGTCTCATACTTTATTCCTAGTACTAAATCACTATATCTTTCAGTATTGTATTAACTTTTGTGCTTCAATTCATTCAGTTCGACAAGAAGTGGTTCAAACCTGACGAAGCCTCTGCTCTGAGAACTAATATCCTAAGCACACTCATCGATCTTTTCCGTCTGAATGACCAGACTGATCACCACAAAGACCAGACAGACAAGACATCTGATGACAATGCAGCATCCAAGTCAAGAGATTGCTCACCGCTCTAACAAGGTCTAACTTTTGGTTGTATAGACTGAGTCTCATATTTGTAGTTACCATGTTATATATTGTTAAAAAACGAGAGTTAAAAAAATTGAAATTGACATTTAAAATTGTTAAAGAACCTCTGAAGAAAAACTGAAATCTAATGAATGTTATTTCACAACATGGAGATTTAGTACATATTTTGCTATAATCTTAGAAATCTGACAGATTCAAGCAGATGCTTTTAAAGCGGTGCGGAACTGCTCAGGCACACGCATAACCGGTGCCTGAATCGCACCAAGCATGCCAAGCTGTCCACATGCAGCCATTTGATCATTGCCACGGCTAAACCGCATTAAAACAGTGCAGCCTCCTTCAGCCAGAACGTTACGGAACTTGATCATCTTGTCTTCATCGGTCTGTATGAACTGAGAACCACTGTGTGGGTTGAATTGAATAAGGTTGATCTTGCAGGGAATCCCCTGCACAAGCTCCACTAGCCTCCTTGCATCTTCCATGCTGCACAATCAGAGAGCCTTTAGTTCATGATGGTTTCAGAACTGAAGCTCAACGATGACTACTCATGTTTTGTAACTTACCTGTCATTCACTCCTGCAAGCATCACGTATTCGAACAACACTTTGTACTTGTGCATTGAATTGAGCTCTTCTCTGAGCGTCTCAAGGAGCAAAGATAACTTGTATTTCCTGTTGATAGGCATAATCCAGTTTCTAACCTGCAAGGTTCAATTTCAATGAGGTCAAATCATCATACATGAAATGATGATTGTCTTAAAAGAGACAAGAGTTGAAAAAAAGAACCTCATCGGTTGTTGCATTAAGACTGACTGCCAAAGCGCAATTAGATTCACGGAGAAACCGCTTCAGCTGAGGAACAAGGCCACTGGTGGAGACTGTGACCTTGCGTGGACTAAAGTGAAGTCCATTCTCATCTACCATAATGTTTGCAGCTTTTATAACATTGTCAATATTGTGAAATGGCTCTCCCATTCCCTAAAACACACACACACACTAGCTCCATGAGAAACTGTAGCTGCGACACAAGTATGTTGTTTCACGCATACCATAAACACGACATTTGTGATTGACCCAACTTCATCGGAAAGCAATCTCCTTGCGTAAACAGCCTGCTCAACTATCTCAGCAGCAGTGAGATTTCTCTTCAACCCCATCCTGCAAAAAAAAATCAGATAAACCACATACATCACACCAGGACTCGAAAGCAACTCAAGAGAATATATATTTGTTTACCTGCCAGTGTAGCAGAACTGACAATTCATAGCACAACCCACTTGACTCGAAACACAAACTGTCGTCCTGCCACGATCACAAGGTATAACAACAGTCTCGATCACAAGCCCATCATCCAACGTGAACAGAATCTGCAACATCCTGCGAGTTATGAATCAATCCCCAAATTCTCACTGAGATATAACAACAATCACTGATTTCAAAACACACTTGTTTTTGACCATTTATTCACCTTCCTAGTTCCATCTGAAGCGGAACGAACATCTTTGAAAGATAATGCCCCAAACTCAGCATGCTCACTAATCATTCTCTTGAAATCTTTGTTCAAGCCTACAAAAACGGAAACACAAAACTGGAATCAACACAAAAAAAAAAAACATCTGGGGAAAGACAGTAACAGTAGAGACAAAACCTTCAAGCTGATCAACATTTTGTGCCCATATGTTGTCTTTGTATAATCTCTTCCACAACATCATAGCTTGTCCGGGTCGAAACCCATGCGATTCAACCCATTCCTACAAAAATAGAGATTGATTGACCCAATTCCCAAATCAAAAGAAGATGAACATTTGACTTGATTCAATTAAAAAGATGAAGAAACGTACTTGGAGAGAAGCATAAGTCATACCCTTCAAGATCACCTTCTTGTTATCATCATCTCTCGTTGCTACAGAACCTATTAATCATCGAAAGTTACAACATTTCTCAACAAGTTAACCAATTCGAACAAGCCCATGAATCAAAGAAGTCACCTTTAGTTGATGGGAACTCGTAGTCGAGTGCGGGAAGATAAGCTGCGGAAGAAGAAGAGAAGGAAGCGAGGCTTCGGGATTTGAGGAAAGTAATGGAATTGGTAAGGCGGTGATTGCGGAGGGGAGATTGTAAGGTTAGGCTTAGGGTTCTGGTGAAACTCGGCGTTGAAGAGAGTAGCGTCGGAGAAACAACGGTGATGATTCCCAGACGCCTCATTGTCGTCGACACACGAACCATTATCTCAACTCCTTTCTCTATTTATCTTTTTTTTTAAACATAAGTTCCTTCCGTTAACTACGATTTAACTTAATGAAATTCAATTCAATAAATTGTCCCAATTGTATTATTTAGGGTTTAGAGGATGAATGGTTACTGTTGTAGATGCTGTCCACAGCATAATTTCTTTCTACAGCAATAAACCTAAGTTCACAGATGGTTAAAAAAATAATGGGTCCTTACTCTTGATTCTTAATACACACTAGATTTTGACCCGCGCTACCGCGCGGTTGTTTATTTTTGTTTATAGTTAGTTATATAAAGAATTTTTTTCACTTGTAAATTGGTATATATTATAGTAATCACATATTTACGATATGTATAGTAAATGTTTTTCAAACCTAATAATATTATATAATGAGTGTTTTAATTAAATAGATTGTTTCAAAATTTCTTTATATTACATGTTTTTCAAACATGTGTTTTCTTCTATATTTTATTCTTTGTTAGATTAGTATTTCATTTTTAGATAAAGTAATATAAATAGAGCTTGATTAAATATTAGTGTATTTTAATTTGCAAATATAATATAAACTTCGAAGAAACGTTTGTTTTTTCTTCTATATTTTATTGTTTGTTAGATTAATATTTCATTTTTAAATAAAGTAATATAAATAGAGCTTGATTAAATATTAGTGTATTTTAATTTGCAAAGATAATATAAACTTCGAAGAAATTTTTGCTAAAAATTAAACTTATAGTTTCATAAATTAATATTATAAATAACTTTATTAAAAAAACCAATTTTTTAAACAATTTTTTTAAACAATATAATTTTAAAAATTTACATCGAAATAAATTTATCTAATATATGTAGCGTGTAAATTAAGGTATATAAATATTTCATATTACTAATCTATGATTTTTGTTAATATATTGTGGATGCATTTAACTATTATTGACATATTTCCTTCTAAATAATAGAAGATTCCTAAACTTATATCTATTCACATATTTTGTGTGACTAAGTTGGAAGGTGTGGGGTATTTACCAAAACCAAATTGTTAAGCGTATTATAAACTATAATAATGATAAGATTATTAGAGAGTTAATGTAACATAAGTTTCTAGTAATAGTCTATTTTTAAAAAAATCACACATAAATCAAGTCATGACTTCTGTTTTAATATATAAGATATACGTATATATAATATATACATACACATATCTTATATATTAAAACAGAAGTCATAACTTGAATTCATGTGTGATTTTTTTAAAAATGGACTATTACTAAAAATTCATGTTACATTAACTCTCTAATAATCTTATTATTATTATATCTTATGAAAAATCATATGTATAATAACAAAGATACGTTTAACAATTTGGTTTAGGTAAATTACCCCACACTTTCTAAATTAGTCACACAAAATATGTCAATAGATATAAGTTTAGGAATCTTCTGTTATTTATAAGGAAATATGTCAATAATAGTTAAATGGATCCATCATATATTAACAAAAATCACAGATTCGTAATATGAAATATTTGTATACCGTAACAAAATTTACACACTATATATAGTAGCTAAATTTATTTCAATGTAAATTTTTAAAATTATATATTTTTTTACAAAAAAGAAATTATTTTAAAAAAATATTTTTTAATAAAATTCCTCTTTAATAAAATTCTTTATAATATTAATTTATGAAGCTATAAGTTTAGTTTTTAGCAAAAATTTCTTCGAAGTTTATATTATCTTTGCAAATTAAAGTATACTAATATTTAATCAAGTTTTATTTATATTATTTTATCTAAAAATGAAATACTAATATAACAAACAATAAAATATAGAAGAAGAAACAAACACATGTTTGAAAAACATGTATAATATAGAAAATTTGAAACAATCTATTTGATTAAAACACGTATTATATAATATTATTATGTTTGAAAAATATTTACTATACATATCGTAAATATGTGATTACTATAATATATACTAATTTACAAGTGAAAACAAAATGTTTATATAACTAACTATAAACGAAAACAAACATCCGTGCGGTTGCGCGGGTCAGAATCTAGTATGTATATTAAGAATCAAGAGCAAGGACTCATACAATAATAAAACCCTAAAGCTATACGTATGTAAATATTATATCTGCCATAAGTAAGAGTAAAGATATGATAAGAAAACAGTATAGTTAAAAAAAAAACAGTATAGTTCATCTATTTCTCTTCTTGCTTTTATAATTTGATTTGACAATTAATATTCTTCTTGTTCGTCTAGTTAAAATATATTTGTATTTATTTAATTTATACTTTGAATATTCATAATTATTTGTAGGGTTTGTTCTTAGGGATTCATTATTATTTGTAGATATGGTTTGTTCTTATAGTTTATTCGTACAAATTCCTTATTATTAATTATGTTGTCACTAGTCTATTTATATAATTTTACAAAATATTGGAAAATAATAACAATAATTTTTAAACAACATGGATATGACATCATTTTCTTAAAAAGAGGTCAATATTTTCTAACATAATTAATCTAGTTTACGAACATTTTTAAAATTGATATTTTTTTATTTATTCAATAAAAACTTCAGTTATTATAAATTTTATTTCATATTAATTAGTTTGTTATTTAATATATGCATATAATATCAATCTACAACTGATTTATACCAATCATACTTTTAAAATCTAAAAGCCAAAATTCTAAAGCAAAAATATTTACAGCTACAACAAAAAATCTACAGCTTTAATTTTACA